CTACACTTACCGTTTTGGAAATGAGATTTTTTTACAATTAAACTTGTTTTTGTATGGAATGCGTACAAAAGGCTAGCGGCCAAACAGGTGACACATTCTCGCTCTAGCACTTTGTATGAAAAATATAATTACATAAGATAGAAAATGTATGAGATAGTATAACAACATAATCGTTCTTCTTATACCGTTATGTCTCGGGGGTTAGTGCATATAACTTTTGATAAATTGTTGCCGTTTTTTTAGTTTCTGTGCCATTTGTTTGGATTTCTGTCATGATTTGCCCCTACTTTTGAGTATTTTAGTCATGTTTCTAGGCTCTTTTCACTGTTCTACGCTTTTACCGAATGTATTTTTCTATCTTTCCCTAATTGTTTTTTCTTCCATTATTCCCTTAATTTTCCTATTATCGTCCATCCGAATAAATGTTCGAACAAGATCAATTTTTTTTCCTGTAGTGTTAGTCCAGTCGTCAGAGATTTGATCTCTAAAAATCATACGAACAAGCTGAATTTTGCTGACAATATCAATTTTGGGACCCCAGAAAAGATGCAAAATAGTTTACTACTTCCACCCCCGGTCTTCCCCCTAAAACCCGCCCTACTAAGAAAAAAACAGAAAACATCTTTTTACCAAGAATTTGTACGCCGTAGAAAACTATGTATCAAACACGAAATTTAGATGAGATCATTTTGAACAAAAATGTTTATTAGCACTTTTTCTGTAGAATGAAACGTCCTCTCAGAAATAACGCTTGAAGCGACAGGCGATTTTGAATGTCACTTCGATATCTTTTGATCGGAGTATTCTATCGTCAAAAATCAAAATGCGTTTTTATATTTTGCCGCAAATAAAGTCAGTTTCTATAAATCTAAATAAATAAATAAATAAACGGTCCACGATTTTTGCAATTTTTTCCGATTTTCATGAGATCAATAAAATTTATAGACTACAAGCTCATGAGAAATTTTTAAGGGGTCATTTGACTCAGCATGAATCACAAATAACTCAATAATACTAAATGTAATAACAACTTTAGAAACAGGAGGGGGTATTTTGGTCAAACATTTTTGTACGGCATTTATAACTTAGATAGGTAATACAAAAATAATGATCTGCGACCTACTGTCGCACAAAAATATTGTCTTGCAATTTCAATGCGTGTCCTTATTTCTCTACCTTGGTTATTGTTTTCATTTACCCAGGTTCCCAGATATTTATAGTTATTTACTCTTTCTACTTGTTTTCCCTCGATATCTAGTCTTCCTACTGTAGATGGCTTAGAAATAATCACGCACTTGATTCTATTAATGTTCATTTGTAGTCCATATTTTATACTGACTCGATGTAATCGATTTACTAAGCGCTGTACTCTGCGTACAGGTTAAATATCAATGGGGACAGCACGCAACCATGTCTAAATCTCTTTTGATTTCCATAGTTTCTGTATCGACATTTTCGATTTTAACCTTTGCTTTTTGATTCCAGTACGTATTGACAATAAGCTGTATATCTCGAATATCCACATTCTTTTCTTTTAATAGTTTTACAAGTTTCTGATGTCGTACTCTATCAAAAGCCTTTTAAAATCTATAAATCAAAATAGAGATCCTAGTTCATATCTAGTCGTCTTTGCGCGAGAACGTTAAAGGCGAACAGAGCCTCTCTCGTTCCTAGTCCTCCCCTGAATCCAAACTGGGTGTCATCTATATCTTCTTCTATTTATTTGTATAGTCTTTAATGTATTATTTTGAGAAATATCTTAAGTGTGTGGCTTATTAAGGAAATGGTTCTGTACTGAGTGTATTCTGTCGCATGTACTGATTTTGGTAGTGTTACAAACGTGCACAACAACCAATCTTCGGATATTACTCCTGTTGTATATACTTAGATGAATAGATCTAAAAGTATGTGCAGTGTTTCTTTATGCATTTCTATAATCGTCGAATAATTTCATTATGCATTCTTGCCAAAATCTTAGTTTTTCTTTGATGTCTGCAATAAGTTTACCATTATCATCTTTGAGTATCCCATAGTGTGCTCGCTTTTTGGTATTTGTTAGTTTTTTTTTATTTTTTTATGCATATTGAAGCTGACGTATTTTCTGTCATACTCTTCTATTTCTATGTATTGATCTGTTAACCACTTTTCCTTGGCATCTTTTATCTCTACTTTAATTCTACTTTGTATTTCTTGATATTTTGGCTTTCTCCCTTTGGCTTTTCTCCCCTCTTTCATTAATGTTACTGAAGTCATCCACTTCCGTTTTTATTTGTCTTTTCAGGCTTTAAATTTTCTTCTGCAGCCTTTAGTAATGCCTTCTGAATATTGCTCCACTATTCATTGACATCTTCTTATCTTAAGATTTCTTCTCCTACTTCTGTTAGACTTGAGTTGACTCGTTGGATCACTTCTGGATGTATTTCTCTTTTTCTTAATTTTGTATAAACAAACGTTGCCGGCTATAACGGATACAAACTAAAAATTAAAAAAAAAAACTTGAAAATGTGAAAATTTAACATATTTTTAAAGTCCCCTGTGGCGTATGTTATGGTACATTTTAAACACAGTGACTGTTATTAGTTATTTAAAAGTAGACAAATGAAAAACAAAACAATGCCGTAGTTACATTTTTTAGGGCTTAGTGTGCATTTCTTAGAGGACGCAATTTCATTCATTTGAGGTGTTGAGAACTTACTTGGAAAGTAAGTAAGTTCAAGTTTGTGGGGTGGCCACCCTTGTCCCGCGGCTGCCATATTTAAAAAGAGGTGCAGAGGGTTTTCTCGCGCCGTATATCGTAAACTAGGAACCCTACTGAAAATTATAATTAATATTATTGGTAGCAAATTAAATTGTCTACAACTTTATTTCTATTACTTTTTTATTTCTATTTTACAAAAAAATACATTAAAGCAATATTATAGAGGGTACTTAAAAAAATAATTTTCATTAACAAAAATAACTTTCATAAATAATCATTTTACGATAAAATGACATCAGAGCAATATTATAGAATGTTTTTCAAAGAATAATTTTCACTACAAATATTTTCATTAAGTTTTATAGCGCTCCGAAGCTGAACGGGTTCCCAATTACTCGTAAGAATACGATAAAAATGAACCATTAGACTTAGTTTTCTATTATATATTTTTTGTATTCATTTCATTTTAGATCAATTTTTCATCTTCTTAACATTATTCCTATGTTATTATTAATTTATTATCCACTATTTTTCCGCCACCACAAAAATTAGTATTATTAATTATATTAAGATAAATTTCTTAGTAATGAAAAGAACAAAACAAATTTAATAGACCTTCCCAAAAATGTTCTACAAATTACACCCGAAAAATAATAATTTTCATATGAGTTTTCCAGTCTCGAAGAGATGACCCAAGAAACCTAAAAAATGTTTCTCGAAGTTAAAACCGGTTATTTTCTTAAATATATTATTATTAAATATATTTCTTCCCAAAAATTTTGCTCTACATGAGGAAACGACCTCACAACTTGGACTATAATACTTTTAAAGCCATTTTGAATCATTTTTTTTGTACGGCATTTTGTTTTTGTTTATAATTGATGTCAATTAACAAAATATATCACTGCCGCACAGAAATTTTTGATCGTAATACCCCAATTATCAAAGGAATTAATTTTCCCTTTCATAAGCACATGTACCGTAAAAAATGTACGGTATGTCCAAAAATATTATTTTATGCATTTCAATTTAAATCAGTGAGTTGCATATTGGCTCAAATGACTGCTTTGTACTGCTTTAAAATACAGGATTGTGCCCTAGATTGTGCAGGTCATTATTTTTGTATTACCTATCAAAGTTATAAATGAACTTCGATCCCTAGATCATTTTCAGGGGCATTTCGTCAATTGCGGCCTATCCGATATGAGTAGAATGTCATAAACATAAAATGGAACATTACAATACACTACACAAGGACGAACAAACTCTTTAAAAATTTGGAAAATAGGCCAAGCTACATTGTTTATAGAAGCCGAAGACGTCCGGCTGTCTTAGAACTGTCTTAGACTGTTGTCCTTTATATAATAAGTCGTCCTCTATATAAAACTTTATCCAAGATAAAGTTTTAAATTGTTGCTTAACTTTGCAGTTTTAAACTTTTATATATCAATATTCTTTTCTAATCCTTCTGCTACCTCAACACATTTGCAAAAAATGGAAAGAAAGATGGTGAAAATTTGAATCTTTGTTTTCCGAGTTTACGTAAGTTTCTCCGATTGCGTGAAGTTATATTTTATTTATTCTGTAAGGGTAGGCATTATGTTACTAGGAATACCTTTTATAAAGACAAACAAACTGTAAAACACGACGAAGCAAAGTGGACTGTAACATTAAAAGTTTACTGTCTTTAGCAGAGCAGTAAAATGACTCAGTAATTTTTTTTGGAATATAAATAAAATATCGGCAAAAAAATGGGACATAGGAATAACTCAATAAATAGATTTATACTTACGAGCGTAGGCGCAAAATTTCGGGCCAATGCTATTTAAATGCATTAATTTTTTTCGAATCCTGAGAAAACTTATAAATATCTTTGGAAAATTTAAACGCAGAATGACAGATTACATTATTACCGAGGGCCGAAAGTCCCTTAGAATTAATACAAAGTTTCTTTTGAATGACATATTTGAAATTAAAAATCACAGTTAATTTTCTCTTCTTTTTCACCCCTGTAACTTACTATAAAAATAAATAAATAAATAAATAAATAAATACAATAAAATAAACATTTTAAAGTTTTCAGGGACTTTCGGCCCTCGGTAATAAAGTAATTCTTCATTCTGCGTTTAAATGTTTTAAAAATATTTATTAGTTTTCTCAGGATTCGAAAAAAAAAGAATGCATTTAAATAGCATTGGCCCGAAAATTTTCACCTACACTCTTAAAGTTAAAGAGGATTCAAAAATAATTCTAAATTAGATAAGTGTATACTTAAGTAATAAAATATTTCAGTATTACTTACCGTACATAGCAGAACACCCTTTTTAGCAGCTCTAAAACTGGTAAACACCTGCTTTCTGGCACTTTGGTCCATGTTGCCGTGAAGTTTGAAGATTTCTACGTCTGCAACTATTTCCTCATCGTCGCTATCTTCGTCTTCTTCGAGTACAATTACTTGATTATTTGTCAATTGTCCTCTTTGTCTTGGCATTTTTACCAAATACCTGGTAAAAAGTTCGTAGTGGTAATCGACCATACTACTCGTGCCCATAAAAACAAATACCTAGAACATTCAAGCATCATATATTAAATTATCAAATAAAATAAGTATAGAGTCGAATCGTTGAAAAAATATGCATACGTTGAAAACATCTGCAATTACACTAAACATAAAATAAATATAAAAATATTATTGTACCTAAATACAAATGGATTATTTTATATTCCCTTCTCATCCATTATAAAATAAAAACATATGTTACAATACATAATTTATTTCGTCAAATGCACTATTATCTAATTGTACTAATTAAAAAATATCTCTTTTAAAAATGAAATCACATCTTATAGCTTTGTGCAGTTTCCATTAATTTACTATTTAAAACATTTATAAACTGTTGCTTCTTCACGTAACGATGTTTACAAATTGCTTGTATTTTTTTGAAGGGGTGATTTAGTAAAAGATATAACATACATACCTTTGAATTCGTTTTCGATTGCGACAAAATCAGAGCCGATAATGTAAATAGTCGATGTTTGACATGCGTTACTATAAACTTTTGTTGTACAGTGTTAGGTATAACCATCATCTCCGGATTCTGAGTTGTAAATTCGTCCAAAGCATCAATATACACATGTTCCTTCATCGTGAAATCAGCCAATTCTGCTATGCCTTTATTAAGCGTAGCAGATAAGAGCACTGTCTGTCTGATTTTACTGCTAGGATCTCCTAGGGACATTTTTTGGGAGACGTTTTCAGTTTCTGTAGTTTCTATAACATCATCGTCGCCGTTATCGGTAAAAGTTTTTTTCTTTAGTAAAGCTAGCGGGTTGTATTCAGCGTTTGCCTTTGCGTTGTCCAATTCTTCAACTATTCTGGAAAATAAATTAATAACACAACAATCCTTTTATCCTTTTATCATTCGGTCTGTTAATGTTTTCGCTACATTCTTTTGTTGTGCTCAGAGACAAATAATCAACTCCGAAGCGGTATGAGAATACTTAGGGAAATTAAACGAACTAAGCAAGGAAACTATAGTTACAGCCTATGGATTTCTGGACATACCAGAGTGGAGGGAAAGGAAATTGACATTTGTCAAAAGGGGCGCAAAACAACATTTATGGGAATCTTTTTTCAAACAATAATAATTTAATGCTGGAAAAATAGACAAAAAAATATCAATCGCAAAAGATCCATACGTTAGTAAGATTATAACGAATAAGACAATAAAACATACTACTAGGGAACTATAACTATAGCAGATTTAAAGAGTAGTTTAAACAAAAAAGAGTACACAAATTTAACAGGAACACTACTGAAACAGCACCTGAAAACATTGAAGAAGGAGGCAGATCTGACAGAAAGTAGATTCTTAGGTAGAGATAATTAGGTTTATAAAAACTTGACATATTGAGAAAGAAATAATTACTTTACATTTTATTTAATTTAATTACTTTTCATCAATTATTTTCATGTTTGCAGAGCCTTTGTCGACAAAGTCAAAAAAGTTTCGTCTTATCTTCGTATATTGTAAACGAAATATTAGATAAATAATAACTAACTTACCTCACAATATCCTTTTTAAATCCCATATCGAGCAAACGATCGGCTTCGTCTAAGACTAAACACCTAACGTTGTTCGTTTTGAACGCATTCGTATGCAGCATGTGGTCTAAAAGTCTTCCGGGTGTGGCAATTAGAATATGTACACCTTTTCTTAGGCGAGTTTTTTCTGTATTTCTATTTTCTCCCCCGCATAAATTTCCGACGACGATCCATTGGAAAGTCTGAAACAATGGGCACGTTTGATTCAATTAAAAAATTCAATCAGAAAACAGAAAAACTCAATAATAATTAACTTTTGGATGAAATTATTTTGTTAACGAAGTTTATTGCGTACCGAGCTATAAACAGGAAAGAAGAGTAAATGTATCAACAGTGTAGAAAAAGTAACATGACAAAACTTCGTAGATCTGTTAACAGATAGCGCTAGTATTAAATATAATAACTGGATTATTTTAATATACCACAAATAACAGTGTGAGTGAAATTAAATTAACAATGTAATAACCAAAAATAGGAAAACTTTGTATACATTCTTCGTCATGGCGGTCGTGACGGCAATGGCGTCATTGCTAAATAATGCTGATAGACAAACAGAGGGAGACTACTTATTAGTCATCTTATAGGATATATTTGAAAATATGTATTGTTGATTTTTGAACAATTTATTGGTGTATGTTTTATAGTGTATTTTTATGTATGAGAGAGTAATAAAACAATAAATTATGTATGCAAATCCCTAAACTGTTGATACGGGTGACTCAATGAAAAACAGATATTTGTCAACAAGTTTACAGAAGTATATAGGAAAAACAATTTTAAATTGAGTATGACCACCAGGTATAAAGGTTGGAGCAGAATAGAATACAAGAGTTGTGAGGGTTACTAATCCCTAAATAAGGTTGCCAGTGTCGGAGTGATGGAGGTTAAGAGGTACTAATGAATTTGCAAGAAATGTAAGATGTTTATTTATTGGTTATATATAACCAATAAAAGTTTAATAAGTACCTACCTATTTGCAAAATAAAGTTTAATTCTTTAGATAAAATAAAACGTTATTATTTTATCTGAAATGAGTGCATTCCACGAAGTAAGGGTTTCAACAATCAAACATTTATTCTTTAATTCCAGGAATCTACGACAGTAATTGACTAGATAATTACCTTCTAAACTTATTCCACAGAAAATGTGATAGTGGGTTTTTCCATTTTGTAGGAAGGTTCAAGTGGCGTATTCAAAATTCTTAACAGTTCACTAAAAGTAGGTACTTCAGTTGCAAGGTGCAGTTTATTGTGTATACTAGTGTTATGGAAAATTTGGAAGTGCCGTGTAAACGCCGAAAAATTGGTCCTTTAACAGTTAATGAAAAAACATTAATATTTAATTGTTTTAAATCATTTATAGACAAACGTTTATGTGAAAGTGTTGATGAGACCGTTGAGTTAGTTAGCAGTACACTTGGTGTTGGGAAATCTACGATTTACAGAGTTATTAAAGAAGAGAAATGGGGTAGTTTTCAAATGCCACGTAATGCTCCAGGGAAACCAAAATTTCAAATAGAATATCATTTTAAAGAAGGACTTCGACGGCAAGTGCATGAATTCTTCTTTAGACAAGAATTTTAAGTACTGAGACAAACATTGGACAAAGTTCTTGTCTCAGTTCGAGATGATAAATATTACCCAGAAATGAGTCGAAGTACGTTATGGAAACTTTTAAAAGAAATAGGCTTCCGCTGGAAAAAGAATCCCAGAAAGTCTATTTTATTAGAAAGAAGCGATATTGTCATATGGAGAAGACATTTTCTAAGAACCATAAAGGAAATGAGAAACCAAAAAAGAAAAATATTTTATCTTGATGAAACATGGATCAACGAGGGTCATATACCAAATAAATTTTGGCAGGATGAAACTGTTACAAGTCAAAGGCACGCTTTTGTAAATAACTTATCTACTGGTTTAAACCCACATCAGAAAAGGGACGCAGGCTGATAATAGTACACATTGGCAGTTCAGACGGTTTTGTTGTAGGTGGTTTATTAACTTTTTGAATCAACTCGTACCGGTGACTACCATGAAGACATGAACGCTGATGTCTTTCAAGAATGGTTCGAACAAATGATAGATCTTCTTCCTAAGAACTGTGTAATAGTAATGGATAATGCAAGTTATCACTCCAGACTTATAGAAGGACTGCTCACACACCAAGTGGTTAAAAAAAGACTTGCAGAATTGGCTGAGTTCAAAAAATATTACGTACCATCCCGGATCTATAAGAAAGGAACTTTATTCGTTGTGTGCCCTTCATAAAGAAAAATTTAAAAAATACGAAATTGATGAAATTGCCAAAAATCGTGGAATGACAGTACCATCGAGCAATAAGACAAAAGAGGAATGTAAAGGTAGTGGGGTAAACATATTGATAGACAGGAAGTGCCATCTTGAGAGGCCACTTTAGACAAGGATAGACAGTCTCTTTCCTTGTTTAAGAAGTCAAATTTAGTTAGGTTATGTTATTGTTTTGTCCCAACTGTCACATGAAATTTTATTTATATTGAAATCTTTTACCAATTGTGTCACTTTTTAGACTATTATAGTTAATATTTAATTTAAAACTTTCTCGTCTGAAAAATATTTTATAGCTATTGTTAATAAGTGTTGGAAAATTTAAATTTAGCGCCTTTGCATTTCCGGATATGTCCGCCATCAGAGGCCACTTTTTTGGTCTCCTTTTCATAACGATTAGATTCCCTCTTTTATCTTTTTGCTCGATGGACAGTACTTAGATCCCCACCATATCATTGTGAAGTAAACCCGATTGAACTGGTATGGGCACAGATAAAGAGTGAAGTTTCAAGAAAAAATACCACTTTTAAAATTCATGATGTTACACAGTTGTTTTTGGAGGCCGTAAATAATGTAAAACCTGAAAACTGGGAAAAGGCAGTAAATCACACTATTAAAGAAGAGAAAAAAATGTGGAAGCTGGACAATATTACTGATAAAATGATCGAGCCAGTTATTATAAATCTTGGTTCTGAAAGTTCATCTTCTGAATCTGATTTGGATTTGGTAACAAGTAACTGTAAGTTTTATATTAATATTTTTATTCATCTATTTAACATACTTTAGACGGTTTTAAAAACTCTTTTCCTCTTTTGTAATTTTTAAAAATTAAAAAAAAATGTGAATTTTTTAAAACCCTTTTTAATGTAGGCCAGTCAGTTCTAATATAGTGTGTGATAAAAGAGGTCACTTTTGTTTACAATACACATAACATTTTATAACACTGAAATAATTCATTTATTTTTTACAATTATTCAAAGTAATTTTTCAATTAATCTTGAGCACGCCCATGGAGTGGTCGGAGATACCAGTTAAAATTATGCTAATTACTCTCTCGTTCATAAAAATAAACTATAACAATGTCTCCAATGGAACTAAAACCCTACTGAACTGCAAAATTTTGCGGTTTTTTTTTAATTTATTTATAATATAGGTATATTTTTTATAAAAATGAATATTTTTACTTTCTAAAGTAAGGTTATTTACTGATGTCTAAACAATACACGTTAGACCCATTGACAATTTTAAGTACTTACAGTACCATTAGAAGTAAATGTTGCCTCGTCAGTGAAAAGCATGTGTCTTGTCATAAATCAGTGATTTTCCAATTGTCCTTGGATACATGCACAAAATTTAAACCTTTTAAAGTATGAATCAAATAATTTTATTTGGTTTTTAAATGTTGGCAATTGTAACGGGATTTTATTAAGCATCCAGAAATCAGATCTAAGTAACCCAATTCAGTTTAAAATTTAAAATCCTTTCAATAATATTATTCATTGCTTAATTGCTGAATGCGATTGTTTAGAGATTTGTCTAGAACGGAAAATCTAGACGTTTAAAGTGGTAAGTCTGTATTATCTGTTCTGAAGCTGTTTTCTTGTGGCATTTTAAAGTAATTAATATTTAAATGGGAATAAGCCTATTAGTTAATTAGGCTTATTCCCATTTAAATATGATACTTCCTTGCACGATTTATTGCACATTTTTATGAATGAATAATATAATACATTTTTTTTTAATACGAATAGGTCACTAATTTTTAATAAGACTGTATGACCTCTATTAATATTATTTATTTAATTATTATTATTAATATATTTTATTATTATCAAAATCTGACTATGTTATTACTATTAATCTATTATTGACAATTTTTAACAAGAACTATAGGTTTTATATCATAATTTATATAATTTTATATATGTATATATGTTTTTGACAATTTCATCATACTGCGTAAGACTATACTGCGTAGAAATAATTGATGAAATTACACAAGAACTATTGAAGCAAAGTAAAAGGGTCGTGAAGAAAGACGTACCTAAAGCTAAAGAAGACGTGACGACACAATTAGTCGAATATAAATTCATCAATTTAATGAGGAAAAATTGGGAGACATTAACGGGCAAACAAGGAGAGACGTGTAACAAAAATATTTTGGCAGAATCAGGGATAGAGTTTTGCGCTCGTTTCAAGCAGTTAATACATGAGTAGTAGTTCCCAGCTTAATACATCAGCTAATCAACAAGGAAATAGAAGAAGAACAAAGTGACAAGAATTTAGAAGACGAAACAAGCGACACAGAACAAGAAATAAGTGTGGCTCTTACTTTAAGCTGCTTTAACTCTAAAGCAATTTCTGCAGCAAATCATGGAGTTTCTCCTAGTACTTTGAGGTAATAACAGGGATGGAAAATTACCATTAGTTTGTTCTATGGGTCCTTCTACAAGTTTAATCAAAGAAGAGGAATCAGCAGAGGAATTATTCGAAGGAGCAATTGGCAAAACCTCTAGAGGCTGTGAAAAGGGAAATCCCAGCAATTTCTGCAGCAAATCATGGAGTTTCTCCTAGTACTTTGAGGTATAAAAGGGATGGAAAATTACCATTAGTTTGTTCTATGGGTCCTTCTACAAGTTTAATCAAAGAAGAGGAATCAGTCTTAGTAAAATGGATTTTACATCTATCAGAAAGATATTTTCCTGATTTAAAAGTTTGGCTTTTGGATACAGTTAAAAAAATAATGAATTCTATAGAAAGGGAGAATTATTTATTCATAGCCATCCCAGTGACATCTATTCATATATATTCATCCCAATAGCTTTACTTGTTTTTGAGAAGACATCCAGAAATATCCCAAAGAGTGTCACATAATTTAACTACCAGTCGGAAAAATCAGTCGGGTTAAAGAGGGAAAGGTGTTGGCTAAGAAAGGTGATAAACATATTTATCGCTCTACTTTAGATGACAAGGAAAATATAAAAGTATTGGTAATTAAGCTAATGCTACTGGAAAACTTGAGCCTCCAATGATTGTGTTGGCATATGAAAGAATTCCATCAGCTGTATCACAAATTATTCCAAAGAATGGGGTCTGGGAACTTCAGATAATAGATGGATGTGTTCTAGTACATTTAATGAATACAGCAATAATATATTTAATCCGTGGCTCATTAGTATAAATATTAAAAAACCTGTTAATTTTTTTGTTGATGGACATGTTTCTCATCTAACGTTGCATTTGTCCAACTATTGTAAATAAAATGGAATAGAACTGGTAGCTTTATATCCCAACTCAACCCATGTGCTACAACCTATGGACATATCAGTGTTTAGACCCTTAAAATTAAGATATAAAAATGATCTCCAAAAGTGGAGAATGGACAACAATGGCAATAAACTGGAGAAAAATCATTTTGGATATGTTTTTGAAAATGCACTAATCATATAAATAAGGAAATTATAGAACGGATTTAAATCTTAAGGATTATCCCATTTAATGTTGAAAATGTTTACTTTGAAAAAATTAGTGTAAAAAATGTTAGTGCCAGTTCCACATTTTCTGACACATCTGAGTCTGTTAATTGTACATGTAAACAATCTCTACAATCACTTAAGTATTTTGAAAGAAAGCTGGGCGAAGAAACTGTAAATAGGTTCAAGGTAACTTTAAGCGAAAATCAGAAAAATTGAAATGGTTCTATTGAGGATCAATCCCATTATAACATAGGAAAGAATGGACAATGGAAACCCTACCCATCCAAATTAAATGTAATACCATCCAAAACAATATTTCTATATTCCAACTCACTGCACACTAGTAAAAACTTTTCAACCAAATATCTTTGGTACTCATAGCTCAGATATATTGTCTGGTACTGAGAAGAGATTTATTAATACTCCTGAACCAAGTACACCCACATGTACACTTACAGAGTCCATGCAAAGTTCT